CTATACCCCCCGCCTTTTTTGTTTTTTATGTTGTTTTGAGTCGTGATCTCTGCATGTAGCTCAGGCTAGCTTCTAACTTTTGATTCTCCTGCCTCAGTTTCCTAAGTACCCCGAGATTACAGGTGTGAGCCACCATAATCAACTGCAATTAGTTTGGGTGCCCCTGTTTGTGGGTAGTTACTGGGGCAGCTATGAGGAAATAATGCGGGACCATGCCCTGTGGAATTGTCAGTTGGGACGCAGGAGACACAATCCCCCCATTATCACTCTCAGGTACTAGCAGAACTTCTCCCAGGCTTTTAGGGGTCCCCAGTCAGGCAAAACCAGGATTTTTGACTCAACATAGGAAAGAATTTAGGACTGGCCAGTTTATGAAGTTGATTTGGAGAGTTTATTAAAAGATATTTTAATATAGGTCCAAGTGTGGGGGTTAGAAGAGAAGAAGAGAAGGCAGCTCAGAAGGACAAACAGACACACCTGAGACCATGTGCTTAAAGAGTCACAGGGAGTCAGATATGCCCACTTGTGGGCTCTTGAGGGAAGAGTGGCTCATCTAACAGTTATTTGTCCTGGTTAAGTGTCTGTCAACTTGACACAAGCTAGAGTCACCTGGGAAAAAGAAATCTCATTAGAAAATGCCTTCAGTCACCCAGCAGGCAGAGGCAGGTGGAATTCTGTGAGTTCGAGATCAGCCTGGTCTACAGAGTTAGTTCCAGGACAGGCTCCAAAGTTACAGAAAAACCCTGTCTCAAACAAACAAACAAACAAACAAACAAACAAAAAGAAAGACAGAAAAAAGAAGAAAGAAAGAAAGGAAGGAAGGAAGGAAGGAAGGAAGGAAGGAAGAAAGAAAGAAAGAAAGAAAGAAAGAAAGAAAGAAAGAAAGAAAGAGAAAATGCCTCAATCAGATTAGCCTGTGGTATGACTTTAGGGCATTTTCTTGGTTGATGATTGGGGCCCAGCCTACTGTGGGCAATGCCACCCCTGGACTGGTGGTCCTAGGCTGTATGAGAAAATAGGCTGAGGAAGTCATGGGAAGCAAGCCAGTAAGCAGCGCTCCTCCGTGGCCTCTGCTTCAGTTCCTGCCTTTATGCTCCTGCCTTGAGTTCCTGTCCTGACTCCTCCAATGATGGACTATAACATGAAAGCCAAATAAACCCTTTTCTCCCCAAGATGTTTCTGGTTAGTGTTTCAGAAATCATACGAGGTGACGCTGGAGAGATGATTTAGAGGTTAAGAGCTCTGACTGTCCTGGCAGAGGGCCTGGGTCTAGTTCCCAGCACCCGTGTGTTAGCTCACAATCACCCATCCATCGCTCCAGTTCCAGGAGATTTGATGCCCTCTTAAGACCTCCAAAGGCATGTCATGTCATGGTACACAGATATACATACAGGAAAAACACAAAATAAAAACAAATACAAATCTAAAAAAGAAATCAAAGACATTATATATAATTACTGTATTCAAATGGTTGAGAAGACACTTGGATGAGGTACTTTTCTGTTTGTTTACTTGCTTCAGACAAGATTTCAAATAGTCCTTAGTGTACAGCTCAGATTGGCCTTAAACTTCTAATCCTCATGACTTCGCTTCCCAAGTGCTGACAATGCAAACACACCTGGCTCCTGGGGACACTTTGAATTGCCCCCTGGCTGGGGCGCTGCTGGCATCTCCTGTAAATAGGACAGGATGTTAGATAGCCTAAAACACACGGCTCAAGCCAAGGACAAGAGTCCTGTCCCACAAGTCAAGAGTCCTGGGGTTGGGGGTTAGGAGGCAGTTCAATTGCTAGAGCGCTTGTCTAGCATGCAGGAAGTTCTGGGTTCAATCCTCAGTACCAGATAAACCAGGTATGGTGGGGCATGCCTGTAATCTTAGCAGTACCAGAGGTGGAATCAAGTGAATTGGAAGTTCAAGAGCATTCTTGGCTGCATATGTGTTCAAGGTTAGTCTGGGCTATGTGAGACTGTCTCAAAAACAAAACCCAAGATGCTTGAAAGACAATTCAGAGGTTTAGGGAGCGTATTGCTCTTCCAGGGGACCAGAGTTCAATTCCCAGCCCTCACATCAGACAATTCACAACTGCCTGTAACTCCAGCTCTAGGAGATCTGATATTTCTCTCTCTCTCTCTCTCTCTCTCTCTCTCTCTCTCTCTCTTTTCACGCACACACAAGTAGGCACACACACACATACCTCATGACTTTAAATCAATCAGTCAATCAATCAGTCAGTCAGTCAATCAATCAATCCACCACAGCCCTAATTAACATAGTGGATCACATACCAAAAAGAAGACATGGGGCACTTGCTGAGAAGAAAGGATCTGGAGGTGGTGGGGGGATGAGATGGGAAAGGGTGTGTGTGTGAAAACAACTAAATGTATCATAGACGTATATAAAACTGCCAAACAAACAACAGCATTCAAATCCCAAGCAAAACAGTGCCAGGTTGAGAAACCAGTTTATGGCAGAATACTGTTAAAAAGGACAGGGAACCCTGAAGTCACAGACGCCAACATCAGAGCCCTGCACCAGTCACGGGTGCTGTAGCACATGGCTCTAGGGACAGATCGTCACCCTCTTCTGCCTGCCCCTGTCCATCCAGCCGACCGTCTTTGTCCAGCTCCTCTTGTTTGTCTGCCCTCTGTGAACTTGGGAAAGCCATTAAGTCAGGGTGTCTTATCACAGCTGAGCGCAGGCCCAGCCTCCACTCCTGGTGGGTTAGGTGGTGTTTTCCCAAACAAGTCCTTTTATCCCAGCCACAGAGAAACGTGAAATGACATTTTCTAAAAACGTTGCTTTGTGGAAATGCCAAGGCTAATCTCCAGGCACAAAGAGCAGTGTGGAGATCAGAACTGACTCGGGGAGCTGCAGCCTGGGAAGAAGAACGGGCTCAGAGGTGCGTGCGCGATGGGTGTGTATGGCTGGGCTACTGACTAGCTGAACTGTGACCCGCTGTGAGCTTGAGGGCTGCGCATCACTTGAGGGCTGCGCCTGCCTCAGGCAGGACTCTTTCTTCCTTGTTTTCAGGGTATCTTTGGCTAGAGAGTAGCTATCAAGAGGAGGCAGGTTGACTGATTTTAGCCCTGAGAAATAGATGTCTGCAAGGGAGCCCCGCTATGGACATCTGAAAACTTTCCTAATTTGGCTCAAATGCCTTTCGATGCTCAGAATAAGTAGGGAGAAGTTTTATTTTATTTTTTTTTTAAAAAAAGTATGCTTAAGTTTTAAATTTCAGGGGTGTGTGTGTGTGTGTGTGTGTGTGTGTGTGTGTGTGTGAAGAGGCCAGAAGTGGGCATCAATTACCCTGGAGCTGGAATTATAGGAGTTGGGGGGGGGTCATCTGACATTCATGCCAGGAACCCAACTCTTCCTCTGGAAGAGTAGCAAGTACCCTTCAGTCCGATGTTTTATTTTGCTTTTGTTTTCAGACAAGATTCCATGTGGCTAATGCTGGTTTAGCTGGTTTAGTATTATAGGCATGCACCATGCTATACTGAAATAGAAACCAATGCTCTATAACATTAAGCAAACACTCTGCCTAATGAGCTACATCCTAGGCCTGAAGTTTTAGCTTAAGAAACAGTCAAGGGCTTGGGATGTAGCTCATAGGTACTAGGCTTGCCTGGGATAAGCAAGGCCCTGGCTTCTATCCTCAGCACTACAGAGAAAGAGTGTGTGTGTGGGGGGGGGGTGAAAGGGAAGAAAAGGACAGAGAGGCAGGAAAGGAGAGAGGGCAAAAGAAAGAAAAGAGTAAGAAAGTCCATTGTGAAGATGGACAAGGTGGCTCATTCCTGTACTTCCAGCACTTGGGAAGCTGAGGCCTGGGCTTACATAATGAGTTCCAGATCAGCCTCAAGTATATAATGGATCTCTGTCTCAAAAACTAGCTAAATAGGAGCTGGAGAGATGCCTCAGCAGTTCCAAGCACATACTGCTTACTTTCTCAGAGGACCTGAGTTCTAGTCCTAGCACCTATGTCTAGCAGTTGTAGATGATCCAATGCCTCGTCCTCCAAGGGCACCACATGTAAACACACACACACACACACACACACACATCCTGTGACTTGAAGCAGTGGGGTGGACAGAATCATTATATAGTAAATGTATATATAGGAATAGCGAGTCAATTCTATTAATTTATATAATTAAAGTATCAGTAATTATATTATACATGTGTCGTTAATCCCAGCATTTAGGAAGCAGAGGCAGGTGGATCTCTGTGAGACTGAAGACAACCCGTTCTACAAAGTGAGTTCTAGGCCATCAGGGGCTATACAGTAAAACCTTGCCGAAAAAAGCAAAGCAAAGCAAAACAAACAAACAAAAAGCTAAGAGTTCTGGGTCATCTAAATCCTTGAGACTCCCAAGCAACTACAGCGATTTAGGGAGAAGAGAGAGTGCAGTATGGTTGCTAGACAACTGTTCCCATGGAGGAATGAATGGGTGGGGTGGCTGTGGATGTGTAAAGGATGGGCCAAGACTGAGGGAGGGAGGAAGCTCAAATATTCTTTCTCCATTTTCTGTTCTGAGCTGGAGAAGAAGGAGTAACAGGTAAGAACCCCGAGGCTGATTTGGGGCACTGGACAGTGAGTGAGATTGCTCTTTTCTGGACCCAAGAGGGCAAATTAACAAACTTGGAAGAGAGTTGACTCTTAGACAATGTTGGGAAAGGGTTGAGGGTGAGCTCTGCTGCTCAGAAACACTGTAACAGAGAACGAGAGAGGTTTCCTGAGAATGTGAAGACACCAAAAGTAAACAAGGATTGATGGTTGCTCAGTTTCCTGTGAAAACGATGTCTCCTCAGAAAAAGAACACCTTACAAACCTATCCACAGATAAGAGGAAGTCTCCAGAGCTGAATGCCTGGGCTCTCAAGTCTAGATGTGAACCTGTGAAGTTAAGTTACCAAAGGAAGTGCTGTGAGATTTCCTTCTGGGAGGTACTACAGTTGAGGGCTGCAGCCTAATCTTCTCTCTCTCATTCTGTCTCTCCTCAGGCCTTGATGCCATCCAGTGCTCACTGCCCATGGAGGACCGGAGGGTGGCTCTGCGCGAGCTGTCAGAAGCCAGTTTTAGCGAGTGTAAGTTCAGCCTGTCCCTCACAGACTTGTTCATCATCATCTTCTCGGGTGTGGCCGTGTCCATTGCCGCCATCATCTCCAGCTTCTTCCTGGCCACCGTGGTGCAGTGTTTCCAGAGGTGCGCCCCTAACAAGGACACGGAGGATGAGGATGACGACGAGGATGACTGAGCCACCTCTTCCTGCTCTTTGCTTTCCCACACCCAGCTAGTGGTACCTCTCCAAGGGAGACGGAGATGCTGAAGACAGAAGCATCGCATCACTCCAGGCAGTGAAAGGGCGGGTGCTTGCCTAGATGCGCCCACTGGGACAGTCGATCCCAGAGCATAGAATCAGCAGAGTAGAGATGCAGGAAGGATGGAGAGATTCATTCCTGAGCAGAGCCCACCTCCCAGGCTGGGGCATTCGTGTGTGTGAAGATAATCAAGTCAGGCTTCATGGCTTACAGCTTTACAACTTCCCCAAGCTGAAGTGAAAACTTACAGCTTCTGACCTCAGAGGCGTTTGGACCATTCTTATTACGAGCTGCACTCTGGACCATGAATCGTCTTCCTCCTAAAAGACAGCGGAGCTCTCGGTGGAGATTCAAGCTCGGCTCATTCTCCACGGGAGCAGGAATTCTTTTCCTCTATAAAAGGTCCCGGCAGCTTTGGGATGTTAGACCAAGAACAAACAAACGTACACGCAATAGACAATGTCTGTGTCTCCCCTCCGTTGCTGTGTTGACACCCAGTACCCAGCACGATGATGCAAGATGTCTTGAGCCAGCAACACTGAGCTGGGCTAAGATACCCGAGGCAGAGGTTCACAAGAAGTGGTTGGGGATCCACTCCTTCAGGGTGCTTTGAAGAGGGCCCTTGGATATGACTGGATTATGAGAATGGATTCATACTGAGTGCAGTTAGTGCCCTTATAACCCAAACTCTGAAGACCTCCCTGCTCCTTCTTCCAGGTGAGGACCCGGTGAGAGGATAGCCATCTGTGAACCAGGAAGTGGTCTCTCACAGGAACTCAAACGTATTGGCCTCCAACCTCTAGCCTCCAGAACTGTGAGAAATAAATGATAGTTACTTATAGACCCTCGTGCCTGTGGTTTTTTGGTAACAGCAGCTCAAAAAGACTAAGACACCAGATTTAGATGAAGTATTAGCAAGAAATAAAAGCTTGAACTTTGGCAAAGGATGCTTGTAGTCTGTTGGTAAATAGGTTGGGAAAACGTGTGTTGGCATTGCCTGAACTCCAATCCTTATCCTAAGAGGTAACACCTTGCAGAGGACAGGCAATCATTGTGTCAAATTGTGATGGCCATTTTGCTGTGTCATTCTTTCCTCTGTACTACCGTCAGGGTGTTTGTTTCCCCCTCCAGAGTCCCACCTTAGCCAATAGCTGAGTCATCTTCTGTGTTGGTATGGTCCTATACTTGTCCGCTGCAGAAATTTTGGGGAACTCTCCCAGAAACCAGGAGGTCAATAAGCACCAACAAAGTGTTCCTTAAACAAAATAAAACAACAAAAATAGATGTGAGGCCACACGCCTTTAATCCCAGCACTCAAGAGGAAGAAACAGGCAAAACAGTCTAAGGAAGTAGATAGGGCTCCATGCGCCCCAAAGAGAGTGTTCCAGGCCAGCCAGGGTGCACACACTACATAGTGAAACCCTGTCTTTAAGAAAAAGGTTGGCATGCTAACACATGCCTCTCAGCCTAGCCAGTACTCAGGAGGTGGCAGCAGGAGGATTACCTCAAGTTTGAGGCTAGGCTGGGCTACATAATGTGAGTGAGATCCTGTCTCAAAAGCAAAACAGATGAACAAAAACCTACCACGGGGACTTGGCCTCTGAACAACCTCCATCGGTGGCATCAGTGGCCTCGGGGTGTGCATGACATTTCCTCAGAAGATAGGCTGTGACAGACAGTGTTTTCTGGGGTGAGGGAGACAGCACTTTGCTTCAGAGACAGAAGCAACCACGTTGTGAGTTCACGCGGGCTAATTCAAAATGACTTGTGCTGGCAACAGAGTGTGGCTGGGGGCCCAGACCTGGACCAGAAGAAGCTCACGAGAAACGGCCAGGATATTTTAAGGAACCACTAATTCATTATTTATAATGTCCATCTTAGGAGCCAGATGTGGTGGTATAATCCCAGCATTTGGGAGGTAGAGGCAGGAGGGTCAGAAGTTTACAGCCAGTTTGGGCTTCATGAGATCCTGTCTCAAAAAGACAAAAAGTCTGGGGCTAGAGAGATGGCTCGGCAGTTCAGATCATTTGTTTTTCCTGCAGAGGACCCTGGTTTGGTTCCCAGAACCTACATGACACCTCACAATCACCTGTAATTCTAGTTCTAAGAGATCCTTTTGGCCTCCAGGGGCTCCTACATGCACACAGTTCATGTTAGCTCACCACATCCAAAAGAAAGAAAGAAAGAGAGAGAGAGAGAGAGAAAAGAAAGAAAGAAAGAAAGAAAGAAAGAAAGAAAGAAAGAAAGAAA